GTAGAAAGGGGGAACCGATCACAAGGATCTATTATGGCCCCCCTGGGGGATGGACAACAGAAAAATGGGTGAAGGGAGACATTGGGCAGTGTAAGATATGACAAAATAATAATAATTTATAAATCATCAAGGGTTCATGGGGGGGGGATGCGGGGAGAGAGGGGGGAAAATGAGGAGCTGATACCAAGGGCTCAAATAGAAAGCAAATGTTTTGAGAATGATGAAGGCAACAAATGTACAAATGTGCTTGACATACAAAGGATGTATGTATGGATTGTGATAAGAGTTGTATGAGCCCCCAATAAGATGATTTAAAAAAAAGATATTCAGTGGGGATTATGAAATCAATTTAGTGGTTCCAAACAATATTTTAAAAAGGAAAGAAAATAATGAATAAAAGAGTATAGAAAACAATGGGAAAAAAATCCCACAAAAACCTACAGCGTATAGGGCCCGAAAGGCAGTCAGGTTTAATTAAGCCTGTAGTTGAGCCCACTACCTCTGATTTCAACATGATAAGGAAAATTGGACATAAATGGGGAGGTCTCAGAAAAAAACAAGGAGATCATCCTCTAATCAAGGTTGCTTCTACATATAACTGTTACGGGTTAGAAAATTCACATCTTTTAATAAGGACTGCTCTTATGAGACCTGCACCCATTAAACCATCCTGGAAGTCCAATGACCCTATATGGGTGGAGCGGTGGTTCCTTCTTTTTAAAAAAAATCATTTTATTGGGGGTTCCTACAACTCTTAAAGAGAAACTGCACACTTTTCATGAGTTAGTTCAAAAGCTGTTAAGAGAAGGTTGTAGGGAAGAAACTCTAAACTATTGGATTACCCTGTATTTTTAATTAAGAAAAAAATCTGGTAATTGGCACATCCTCATAAATGTGAGTAATTTGATTATATGACCTGTATAATTTTATTATATATCCTGGTGGGGGTCCCTCCAACCGGGCCTCCTTTCACTTAGTATGATCCCAGAATGGTGGTCTTTAATAGTCAAAGATTGTTTTTATACTATCCACTTAGATCTTGCTGACCATGATAAATTTGCCTCCAAGGTCCCTGAGGTAGGCAACAGGGCCCCAACTGAAAGATTTCAAATAAAAACCTTAACTCAAGGCATGGTGAATAACACCACGATGTGTCAGTTTTTCATAAGCAAAGTTCTAGAGGCCATCAAGGAGAGTTTTTTTTGAGGTGTACATTGTCCACTACATGGGTGATATCGTAACAGCAGCACCTACTAACGATATGCTACAGCAAGCTTACATTCACACCAGAGAAGTCATCTTTCAGACAAGATTAATAATTAGTCCTGATAAAATTTAGACGACCAGGTCTTATACACGCCTGGGGATGCTAGTAGATTGAACGGTGATTAAACCACAGAAGCTTGAAATTAAGAGAGATCATCTATAAATGTTAAATGACTTCCAAAAGCTACTAGGAGACATAAACTGGGTAATACCTTTACTGGGGATCCCCACAGAGGAGCACAAACACTTGTTTGACACATTAGAAGGGGACCCACAGCTAGAGAGTCCTAGAGCTCTCACCCCTGAAGTTCGCCAAGAATTGGTTTGTAGAATTCATCAGCCAGGGAAAGTGTGTCATGTGGATCCAGATGAGACTATTCATCTTGTCGTGTCTCACACACCTGTCACCCCCACTGCCACGCGAGCACAGAGGATAAGCCTCCAGAGTGGCTACATCTGGGTAATAGTGGCCTCAGGTGGTTTGGTCTTATTAGGAACAAACAGCTCAGCTGAGTGCAAAGGCCAGCATCCCCACGACCCCATCACCAACAACTGAGTGAGTCTGATCCATCAATCATAATTTTGTCATATACTCCAGCTCAGATAACTCTTTTGGAATTTTCTACAGACTTTCAGATAGCATTATCTGAATTTTGTGGAAAATGAGAATGTCATTATGTCCAGGAAAGCTCTGGGAGTTCTTACAACAGACTGTTTCTTAGTCTCATCCCATAGGCCCCTTGAGGGAGCCCCCACTAACCCTACAGATGGCTTCTTGTAGACCCTTTCAAAGTTGTTATACCTCTGCTCAGAAAACAGAAGCGTTCGCCTCGTTCTACTATTCAAAGATGTAAACCATCCTGTCAATATAAGCCGTGATTCAGTGTATACAGTCCAAGTGTGTTCTTCCATAGGAGCAGCGAAGCGGACGTCATATCCACACTCTGACATTGGTAAGTTATTCATCACCCTATAGGCAAATAAGGTTCCATCTCCATCCATTCTTCATTGGGCACACGAGGGCGCACACACAGTTGCCAGGGCCAATCTCTATGGGAAATTCCAAAGCAGACAAGTTCATTCAAAAGGCATTTGCTACCCTTACACTCCCTGAAACTGAGCATCAAAGTCCACGTGACAATGCTGCTAGCCTAAGACAAAAAGGTATCATCCAATGGGAGTCCAAGACAGACATATAATCAGAGAATGCACGCACTGTCAGCAAGCCTCACTTAGAGAGGGGCCTGATGGAGTTAATCCGCGTGGAGATCAGTCAAATGCACGCTGACAAATGGATGTCACTCACATATCCTCATTTGGATGCCTAGTTGCTGTACACGTTACTATAGATTCTTTCTCAGGAGTTTTAGGGGCATCGGCCATGAATGGTGAATCCACAAAGCATGTGGATTTACTGTCCTGTTTCACACTGATGGGCACTTCAACACATCTAGAAATGGACAATTGTTGTGGATTCAAATAAATGACAGCCACTCTAATGTCTTGATAATTTAGTCTTTATTCAGTTATAACCAGACTGCCAGAATCTGCAAGCGATTCTTTGATTGCAGTCTCAAGTTCACATTTCAGTCCATCTTTTAAAGGCAAAAACTCATTTATCCTTTGTCTAAGACATAAGCAAGCATGGACAGAAGCAGAAAGCAAAATTAATGTTACTATTACAGGGTACAGCATTGATGATAACATTCTGGTAACTTCCAGAAGAATAAGCATGCATTACAAGGTACCTTCCTTATCATAAAAGAAACAATACCAAAATTGACTATAACATCCTGGTTACCATAACAAGATTAACTACACCATTCAGATTACAACATCAAGGAGAACAATATTGAATCAGAACAAACGATATATTGAAGAATAGTCTAAACTAATTGTAATGTCCAGAACCAGGGAACATGGGAGTACATTCTAAAATCAGTCACCAGCAGAGACTTTCGCACAAGAGGAGGGAGAACGGGCAGGTCAGCCAGCAGTCAGCTTTCTGAGATGGGAGGGAGGAACGGGCAGGTCAGCTAGCAGTCAGCTTTCTGAGATGGGAGGGAGGAACGGGCAAGTCACTTAGCAGCTTGCAAAAATGGAGTTTTTTTTTGCTACTCTGCCTCACAATAACTCAGTTTGCACCAGCAAATGGTTTTGTAGTTTTGGTCAAGACTGGAATATTGATCATGGAACCAGCATCCCTTACAATTCTCAAGGCCAGGCCCTTGTAGAACGGCCACACAGCACTCTAAGTTCTCAATTATTAAAACAGAAGAGGGAGACAAAAGATGATTCTGTACGTGACAAGTTTCATTTAGCTTTATTAACTCAAAACGTTTTCTTTCTGCCAAAGCTTCTAACATTAGGGGGCAGATAATCACATTTCTACCCCTACAGAGAAAGCCGATCTGGAGGAGACCTGGTGGAAAGGCAGCAGTGACGTCTGGGATCTGGGTTTGCTGACCGCCCTTGGGAGGCACTATTTGTTTTGTGTCTTTTCAGGAAAAGGAGCAGTAAATGGATTCTTCCTTGGAAAAGTTCAGCCCAGGCCAAGGAAGGAAGGTGCAGCTGACAGCGTGACATGGAGAATGGGGAGACAACCCAAAAACCTTGCTTCTGATTGCTGAAGTGACCCAGGTAGAAGACCTCGCAGATTCGTGAGAATGGCAATTGCTACCATCCTGATACTCATAATCATTTTTGGCATTGCTCACATTGCCAAAGAGACATTCCAGGACTCTGTCCTAACTGAACATTTTCATGCAAAAATGCAAAAAAAAAAATTGCTACAACAGGTTGTTCATTTACTAGAAAATCAGATTATGGACTTTCAAATCATTTGGTGCTAAATTGGATTAGAATGTTGTAGATTTTATGTAGCCCCTTATCCATATAATGTATGTAACCTTACAGGATTGGGATTTAATGATAAACCATTGGTAAGGAACTTAAGGGAAACATCTCAATAGGTGTCAATCAGCTAGAAAAAAGAAATGATCAAAGTCTCTCTGATAGCTTAGGTAAAGGGAACATCCCCCCAGATATCAGACAGCTAAAGGCAGTCTTTCAATACATTTAGATTTTCAATTCCTTTGTGTTGGCACAATTAAACAATTGGTGGATCAGGTTTGGAAAGCTCAACCCCCAGAGCCTGGATTCAAACCATTTCCCATAGCTTAAGCTTTGGTATGGCCGTATTACTTATTGTCATTAATTTTGCCTCGGCAATCAAATCTTTCAATGTATAGAAAGTGGCCAGGTTGCTTCTGTAGCCCTTTTGAATTTAATACATGAAACCAAAGGGGGAATTGTGGGAGAATGAAGGTCGGGAAGAGAGTATTTGGGCAAACTCAACATTCATACATTAAGGAGTCTGGGAGGCCAGGGCTCCCCTGGTGGGCACCTTCATGTTCATGGGTTGGAGTTGCATCCCCCTCACCTTCTCCTACGTAAAATTTATTCCCCACAATGTCCCTCCCTAATAATGCCTAATCTAAGGTGCTGTTCACAAACACATGGTCACTGTTGAAAGTCATCTGTCTGAAGGTTGTCAGCCATCTAAGGCAACCACACCCTATTATCTGTCCCACCCTGAGTAGGACTGACTCTCTTCTGATAAGGATAATGGGTTATGCCCCTGAAGGAGAGCTCAAAGACACCTAAGGTCCAGCCAGCTCTGAGGACCAAAGTTAGGCTGCCCTCTTGATTCCAAAGTCTGCCCATCTTGTTCCCTTCGTGCTTTCCCGTCGCATGTGTGCCTCTAGTGCCTCCCTTCCTATTGCGTGCATACCCCTAGATCAGCCCCCTTCTGTTACACATGAGTCTATTGTACAACCCCTTCCTGTTATGTATGTAGCGACCTGTAATTCGGGGGCTTACACGCCCCTAGAGTGTACGTATATAAGCTTTGCTTGGAAGTACATTCTCTCTGTGAGGACTTGGCTCTTGAAGTCATGGCGGTCCTGGAGGGGAGCACTTCGTGCTTTATTTTGTCTGCTAGCTCTTCAATTTTACCTGCCCCTCAATCACACAACCGCCCCTGGACCCACTCAATTGTAGGGGCTGGTACCCCACAGCATGTGAAGGTTTGCAGTGCCTTGGTAAGATCTGATCAGAGTCTGGTCCTGGCCAGTAGAGGTGACTGTAGTTCAGTTTTTGGAGAAAGAATGTTGCCTGCAGTCTAGATCACAGTTTCGTAGCTTGAAGTCCCAAGAGGTTTGCTGCCACATGTGCTGGTTTTCTCCATCTGTGCACAAGAGGGGATGTGAGGACATGTTTACTGAAAGGTGCTTCTGGGGAATTCCAGGCCTACAAGGTTCCCAGGAGAGGTAGGCAATTGGCACAGGGGATGCCACTGGGGAGATCTGGAATAGCTGATTCCCACACCTCTGCTCCATGCACCTGACTTGGGAACCCTTGGGCAATCAACTAGAAAAGAGAAGCACATGACAAAATAATAATTTATAAATGATCAAGGTTTCATGAGGGAGGGGGTGCAGTGAGGGAGGGGAAAAATGAGAAGCTGATACCAATGGTTGAAGTAGAAAGAAAATGTTTTGAGAATTATGAGGGCAACAAATGTGCTTGACGTAGTGGACATATGTATGGATTGTGATAAGAGTTGTATGAGTCCCCAATCAAATGATTTTAAAAAGAAAAAAAAAGAAAAGAAAAGCAGGAGGAAATAGGGTGGGATAGAGAATAATTTGGCCCTGGATTGGAATATAGGCTCAAGGCAAAATCCAGGTTCAAGTTGCCTGGCTTCTTTGTTCCTGGGTGAGCCCTCATTCCTTCTGTACCCCTAGAACTTCACTTTTGCCTATACACGATGGTGAGTCACCAGTAATTATATGTTCATTGATCATGGAGTGCGACAAATAATTTCCCCACTGGCTTAAGGAGTCTTGGGATTTAATACAGGCTGTTTAATAATAGCCATTAAAAAATAGCCATTTTACTTGATGTCACGATTTATTTAGAAAGGTTTCTATCCAGATCCCCCTAATGAAAACCGCCCTTTTAGGTAAAGGAGGTTACTCCTTCCTTTCTTTCAGATGCTGGGCAAACAAGCTGGGCACCTGGCCCCTCACTCCTTCTTTTCTCCTCTCCTCTCTTCTCTCTCCTTTCCTCCCTGATCACCGAGAAAGCAAACGTTCTTTCTGTTTTGTTCTCCAGGGCATTTGGTTGATTTTTAGGTTCAAATGCAACTATGAGGGGGTACCCCAAAACACTGGATTTTTTTCCCCAAAGCTATGTATTTACATCTTTAAAAAATTTTTTATTTTACAAAACAACCTTATCACCTTCCAGGTACTCTCCATTACACTTAATACACTTTCTCAAATCTGTGATTCCATTCTTGGCAACATTTTTCAAACTCATCTGTTTGGATGGCTGACAGCACCTCCCTCATTTGTTTCTTCACCTCTTCTACATCATCAAATCACTGTCCTTTCATGTCCCTCTTCATTCGTGCAAATAAAAAGAAGTCGCATGGAGCGAGGTCAGGTGAGTCAGGTGTGTGGGACAAGAGAGGCATGCTGTTTTTTGCCAAAAATCTACTGCACTGAGATGGCTGCATGAGCAGATGCATTGTCGTAGTGGCAAAACCAGTCCCCAGTCTGCCACAAATCAGGCCTTTTTTGGCACACCGTTATGCAATCTTTTCAGAACCTCTAAATAAAAAGCTTCATTAAATAAGGTAACCAGATGTCCCGCTTTTGGCGGAACAGTCCCGATTTTTGGAAAGAATGCACGACAAGCTAGGGAACTGTCTATTTGGTCCATATAGGCCAAATTTTTAATCAAGACACCCCCCCCCCCATCAATGGTATCCTGCTTTAAATCTGGTCACCTTACATTAACAGTCTGACCTGGTGGAACAAACTCCAAATGCACTACAAGTCGACAGTGTCATCTGTTCGGGAAGTTGATGAATGTCCAGAACGAGGTTTGTCATCAATTGACATTTCACCTTTTTGAAACAAGAAAACCACTCATACACTTGAGTCTTTCCCATTGCGCTGTCCTTGTAAGCTGTTTCCAACATCACAAGTTTTTGCAGCATTTTTCCCAAGTAGGAAACAAACTTCATAGCTGCACGCTGTTCTCTTAAAACGCCATCCCCCAAAACAAGGTTTGAGTGAAACTGCTTTTACGAAAAAAATTCACTGTGACCAGAGAGAACCTTCCTAGGTGATGTCACTGGGTGCACTAACTCAGAGTGAGTTGCTGGATGCTCACCCAGTGGGAACAATGCATGTGAAAGCTCCATTCCTCCCAGTGTGATTCCGGTTTGGTGGGGTAACCCCTTGTATGTTTCAAATCCCAGTTCAAAAGAAGTGTCATCTCCCTCGTTGTCCAGTCCCAGATGTCCTCATTATTGCCATGTAGTATCAGCTCAGAGTTCTTATTCACGGACCCATTTGCAACCCACTTCAGTGTCTCCATGTTTCTTCTCACTGTTCATTTATTACCATTATTTCCCCCTTTCCCTCAAACTTCTGAGTTAAAATGTGTCTTTCATAATTAACTTTCTGTCTGAGAACTTACCTATTAAAAAATGTAGGTTTAGTTCATTGGTCAATGTAACAATGCAATAGGACTCAAGATAACAATATCATTTGATAGTCTTCATTATTGTGTTCTAAAATATCAAATGTTACCAAAAAATCCATGGAGAAACAACAAAGGGAAATTTGCAGAGTAAAATGTTAATGAATCCTTTACATGTTAGTTGAAATTAGTACATGCATTTATTGGTATGTAAATTTGCTCATGATATGTTAATTAGAAAAAGAGTAGACTAAAAAATGTTACTATATAAAAAAACATATACTAATGATCTCTCAGTGACAAATGTATTTGAAGTAAGAATCATTAGCTAGAACAAGAGTTTTAGATACATTATTTTGATTAGTTCTACAAGTTTGTGGTTTATCCTTCCTATGAGTCTCTACATTTCACATTCCCATATACCAAATTTTTAAATGCAAAAATGAATACAACAGCATCGGGTTTTTCAATGAGTTTACAATTATAAACAGTCGTTAGATAATGAGATCGCTAATGTTTGAGATGGTAGAGGTCGGCTACAGAGAAAAGTAATAACTTCAAAATTGGCCAATTAGGTTCCTCACCTGACTTACCCACCTCATTTTTCTCTTTTCTCCATTTTGGTATGGAAGTCTAGTTCTGCAAAAGCATTAAATTGCCTTGTGACAATATTGTAATGATGCAAACAAGGCAATATAGCACTGACTACAACTATTCCTGTAGCTATTCCCACCCCCTGCATGTTATTCTCCTTCATGTTGAATAAAGGCTCATGGCTAAGTGAAAAGTTGAAAAAAAAAAAAAGAAGCATTTGTAAAATGTTTGATTTGCTGAGAGCCCCAAGGTACCCTTTTAACTGTAGCAGAAGGGAGGTCCCTCTGATAGTGATGACACATTACCAGATGTAAAGTCTTACGGCAGAGTTGAGTTACACTCTCTTTTTGAATATTCCAGAGATGACCATGGAAACAGAGAGAATTGTGAGTGCCACTGGGTCGCTATGAAAGAGCAGCTGATGGAGCTAATGGGAAATGAAGTCCAGCCTATGTTTCATCTGTTAATTCATGAACGTGGTATGGGGCATGTTTGCCTAGAGTTTTCTAGTTCTCACACTCTGACCAACAGTGGCCCTGAGCATCATGCAAAATGACTTTTTCATTCTGTATTTCAGTTATCAGGGTTCCTGTATTTGAAGGGAGGGATCAGCATCTGCAGCATGCCAATTTATGGATGGTCATGGATCTAGGACGCTGGGCTCTGTGCATGGATGACATTACTCATAAGCCAAAGATCAAGACAGTTACTCTTGAGAGATAGAAAATTCCAAGGGATGGACAGATTAACTACAATGGATGAAACATCTGTAAGGAACTCCCCCCCTCCCCAACCAAACTTACCTTATCAGTGAACTGTACGATGGAGTAAACCGTGTTCTTTGGCTCTTCTTTAGAGGGAAGCACCTGTGAAACACCCATTTCCCCTGGAGTGAGTGTGCCTAGATAAAATCCAATGAGCCCCGCTTATCACTCTTACATCACCCATCCCTGCCACCACTTTTACTGGGCATCCTTCTCTGCTGACTTCAGCTCTGGTTCCATCCAGTGCTGTTGGAGAGGATTAAGATCAGGTGGAGACAGAGTGAGCAAGGGCTAGGCTAACCCTTCAGGCAAAAATCCCAAGAGGAGTGCACAGTGAGTCTTGCTCAAAAGATCCTAGCTTTCCTATGGGTTCTATGGACCCAGGTACTCTAGCAGCCCTAGCACTGTGCTAGGTCAACTGGGAAGACTTCAGCTTTCTCCTTCATTATTTATGAGGCACAGGCTGGTGGGGGAACAGGGGGAGGAGGGCATCCTAGTGGCCTGATGTAAGTTGGAGGTAGGGAGAAGCAGGCAGGTGAAAGGAAAATGGGAGGAAGGAGTACAGGACCGTTACTTGGGATCAGTTGCTGCTGCTGTCAGATTCGGAAGTCATGTTCAAGAGGGCCTCTGTCAGCTGTATGTCCCCAGAGAGCCCTTAGTAACCTGGTAATGTTATCAATGACCACATAACCATCAGTGGCCTCATCTCACTCCAAGGCTCCCTTGCTGTCTGGTTCCTATAGAAGCTACTCCAATCCTGGTCCTGACTTTCATCTCGTGGTAGGGTCAGAACCTCATCCCTATTCTTGATCTAATAGAGAGGCTTGGGGCCGCATTCCCTGACAGTGATAATTCTCTCTTGGTTGGTCCCTCCAGATTCTTGGTGCAGGCAGCTGTTGGAGCCACAGGAAGCAGAGGGCAGTGGTTGTCCATGACTCCCTGCTTTGGGGGCACAGATGGTGGTGGTCCATGAGTAGCAACAGCTCACCTTGGGCATGGAGACTTCATCATAGACTCTAGTTTCTGCTAGCTGGGTATTTCTTTGAGCCGTGATGGGTTCATACACTATTTTATTGGAAAAGGTATCTGTGCCACAAAAAAAAGCACACAACTACATTATCGGAAAGTGGATGACTTTTTAGAGACCACCTGTTCTAATGATTTCTTTCAAAGATGAAAAAATAAAGACGGTAAGTCATCAATAACAACTGAGGTTTCTTGACTCTGAATCCTGAACTCTTTCTCATATCTCTTGATCTACTAGTCTGTACTTGCCTCCTTCCAGGTACCCACCCGATGTAACATAAGCAGACTTGGACCTTATCTGGACTGAGGTGTGCAACCACTCCCTGTCTGCTTAGTGCCCTCATCCAGGGGCCTTTGCACTCGTGAGTCAGATGCCGGATCCTCTGCTGTCTCTCCCTTGAAATTGTAGGTGAAATAGGAGATATCAGGGGCAAGCCTCATTCAGAGCTCAGTGAGAATTCTCTTCTATTTTAGAGTCCAGATTAGGTTCAAGAGAATCCCTCCCCTGCCCTATGTCTGCCATCTGAGGCAGCTTATCCACCAAGTGGTATCCCACTGAATTTAGCATATGAACGGTGCTAGAGTCTGCTGGTTCACATCTTACCATTGCTTTCTCAAAGCTGAGCTCATAGTGGAGGCTCCACAAGCATTTATTGCTTGCTTGCTTGATTCCCAAAGTCAATAAGCATAGACTAAGCTCCTTCTGTGAAGCAATCTCTGTGTGAGGTTCCAGAGAAGTGAACAGGTAGGATAGGTCTCTATTTCTAAGAATTGATAGTCTGGTAGAGGCATTTATCTAAGCATTTGTTTCCCCCTAGGTATGAACCTTACAAGTTAGGGTCAACTTGAAATTGGATGCCAGAATTTGGGGCCATTTTATTCTAGGGCACCTTAACACTTGTACAAATAGCAAACCCATTGAGCTGAGGCACAGGGCTTCAATGTTTCAGTGTCTGGTCCTATACCTACCCTAGTTCCAGACTTGGCCAGTGATCCCGACTGTATGCTCTCTATCAAATTTGTAGATGCCAAAAATAGCCCTCCTTTCACTTCCGGAAACTATCAGGGATGGAGGACAGATGCCTTCTGAAGCATCCCACAGATCACCCCTGGCCTGATGAGACTGCGTTTTTCCCTATCATAAGGTCACAAGCACCAGACCTCTAGAAGGCAAGTACTAGCCTCAGACCCTTCAATTGCATAGTAGTTAGTATTTATTGAGTACTATATATGCAGTAGGCACCAAATACATTATTTTGTAAGTATAATTCTACTGGATTGAATTGACTCATTAATATGTAGGCAGCCTTATTAGTGTGCTTATTTTACAAATGAGAAAACTGAGATTTACAGTGATAAAATAACTGGGCTAAGAGTTCATACATTCACCCCAGGCTGAAGTGCAAGACACATGCTTTTAGCCTTAACCATTATGCCGTGAACCCCAATTCCTCTCAATTGTTATCCAGGTAACTTTGAGTCAAGGCCTCACCTGAGCTCTCCTTCAAGGTCTTCAAGCAGGGACCTGAGGAATCAGATGCAAAGGAGAGTCAGGAAGCTGGAAGCAGGGATACAGCCTCAGTTCATCCTTGTTTATTTTTGTGATTGTGGAAAAGAAAGAGTGATAGAGGAGTAGGAGGAATAGGAGGGCGTAATGAGCCCCTCCAGGGTCCAAGATCAGGTATTTTGAGGGATCGAGTTAAAACCATGGAATGAAACATTAGTACATGTCCCTCGTTGATTCTCCAGGGATCATACTGAAAAAAACAGATTAGAGTAGAATGTCATGTTGGAGACTGTTTAGTCCAAGCATCATTTCACCTGTGGGGACATTGTGCCAGAGAGGTAAGATGCTTGTTTAGTGAGGCACAACTGGCTAACGACAGGAAGAAACTAGAACTCATGTTCTGAGCCCACTACTTGGGTGATCTTAGGAATGGATTCTGGAGGCCATGCAGGGGAATGTCATGTCATTGTGAGAGACAGGGAGGTGGTGGGTCGGGGTTGCAAAAGGAACAAAGGACATCCTCTTGGACACAGGAATTTAGTTCCAGGAAGAAAGAAGGGACATTTCCATATTTTACCTTCCGGTAAAATCCTACCTTGTCTTCTCTTGTACAAATAGCACAAAAGCACTGGTGGAATGATAACGAGAAAGAGCACAATCAGTCCGCTCAGCAACCCAGTGTGGTGATTATTTGTGATGTCTGCAAATAGAAGATTCAGTGAGTCTCGACTTCCTAGGAAAGAGACCCCAAAGATTGGGCATGATTAGCCTCATTCAGAGGCACCATCCCGATTGGGTTCTTTCTTGGGGAGTGCCAAAACTTCTAGGGAAACTTTACTCCTGCTATTAAAAGCCAGGATTAGTAACTCTAAACTAGAGGGCCACACTGGAGTTGTCTTTGAACACCTTGCAATGCCTGTTTTTTCTCAGAAGGCTTTGGGTTCTTTTTCAGTGGGTGGAGATACCTTAAGGGAACAGTCCTGGCCTGAAGAGATACACGCTCCTAGAGCATGAGGACCAAGTTAGGCCTTGCAGCTCTACAGGGTGATTTTGAAAGCTCTAGGAGAGTTGAGCAAAGCTGAGTACCTGCACATAGATGCTGAGCAGCGATGGAGCCAGAGTTGTTGCTGACAGGGTTCCAGACTGTACAAGTGTAAGTCAACTCTTGGTCCTCAGGGGTCTGGAAGATTCTAAGGATATTACCTTCTCCCAGGGGACTCCATCTGTATGTCACATCTTTTTCTTCCTTCTCTACAGAGCAGGTCAGTGTGACATTACAGGAGCTATTCATATGAATCATTAAACTCTGTGTAATTTTTGGCTTCTCCAGCCGACCTAGGAAGGGAAAACACACAAACAAGTGGTGTCATAGGTTGAATTGTGTCCTCTCAAAATGAGTATCAACTTGTCTGGGCCATGGTTCCTAGTATTGAGTGGTGGTCTTCCATTTTGGAATTTGATAACATTATCTTCCCTTGCATGACGTGTTATGAATACTAAGCTCCGTGTTAATGAGAATTAGGTTATGTTAATGAAGATTAAATTATATTTGGTATGTTAATGAGGCAGGATTAGAGTGAGATGCTTACACCTTTACTCAGGACACAGCCTTGATCCAAGAAGAGCTTCCCTGGGGTTTGGTCTTTTGTTTTACATGAAGTAAAGGGAATACAAAGATAGCAGAATGATTTCATAATAACTCTGTGAAGTAAGTATGGTTATTCCCATTTCACAGAAAAATGAACTATGGCCCAAGGACAAGTAGCTGAAGAAAGATTACATAGCTAGAAACTAGCAGAATGTAAACTAATATCATATACTTTTTATCAATGTGGATGATTGTAAGAAGACCTAGGGACTTAAACTGTTATAACTACAGGTGCTGTTTAGGTAGCAAATTTGCAGAGTCTAATACACAGCAAGCCCTCTGCTTTCCACAACTCACGGTAGACTTGCAGGGTGTAGTTCTTGGTTATGGTAAAGTCATTGGAGAGTATATTTATGTCGGCTTGGTAGAACCCTGAATCTGCCATCCTCAGACTGCTGATCACCAGACTGTAGCTCTGATTTACGACGTGTAGTCTGTTAAAATAATTTTTATGGGTCACGGTAACTCTAGGTGCGCTTCCTGACTCTCCTGGCTGTACAACCGCAACCGATGATTTGGAAATCCAAGCGATGTTCATAACTTTCTGTGACTCTGGAATGTCGACGGGGAGAGTAACTGACTCTCCCAGAATCCCATTCACCATCAGCGTGCCTGTGTCTCTTCCAGCTACTTCCGGCCCTGAGAACACAAATAGGAAAGAGTGGAAATCTGATTGTTAGCTTATAGAGTCTCCCCTCTGCCCACTCAGAGTCTCTCTGAGCTGCCACCTGCCTGGCTCATCTGATTTCTTAAGAATACCTGTTTGGGAGGTATGTTTAATATGTTGTGAAGAATGTTTAATATGTTGTGATGACTAATTTTTCTGATGGAGTCTCATGAAAAAAAATAATTTTGTCAGGGAATTTCAAGAGATCCATTTTACTAAAAACATATTTATCTAGATTTTTAAACTGTGAGAACTGCAAGGGATTTGAGAGTCAAAGGCACACATTTCCCTGAGGCCCAAGATAAAATGGCTTAAAAAACAAAACAAAACTCTTTATTGTGAATTAGGTGAGGGTTTACAGCACAGGTCATAATTTTTGTATTAAACAACTTATCACACTTCCCAATGTCTTGCCTTGTTTCCATAATTTTTTTTTAACCAATCTCCCTCCTATTGGATGTGATCTTTCTGTTCCCCCAAGCTCACACCTGTTTACCCTGAGCTGATAACTTCCCCTCGCCTCCCTTCCTTTCCCATTCCTGGGAACCATCTGAGGTTGAAAAGAAGGCCCCTGAAATGATTCAATTGAAGAAGCATAAAGAAAAAGAATGAATAAAAGTACTCAGAGTCTGAGAAGTCTGTGGGACACCATCAAATATGCAATATGTACCCCACCATCTCAGGAGAAGGAGGAAAACGGAAAAATACACTCATACATGGGAGTTGAACAACACATTATTAAACAGCCAGGAGGTCAAGGAAGAAAGGGAAATCCTAGCACACAGTGAGTCAAAAGAAAATGAAGCATGACACTGAGAGCTTCGGGATACAGAAAAGGCAGGGCTCAGAAGGAAGTTTATAGCAGTAAATGCTTACATTAAAAAGGGATGAAATTAATAACCTAACTTTATAATTTGAGAAACTAGAAAAAGAGCAAATTGAGCCTAAACGAGATATCTCCTACTCAATTGTGACCCTTTTAGATTCTGTCAATAGAAGGATTTAGAAGGACGCTGTAAGGCTGGAGATGAACTCAAACACCCGACTAACTGCCATTGAGTCAATGCTGACTCTCAGCAACCGTAAAGGACAGGGTAGAATTGGTCCCGTGGCTCTCTTAGACTGTCACTCTTTATGGGAGTAGAAAACCCTGTTTTTCGCTCAGAACAGCTGGTGGTTTTGAACTGCTGATCTTGAGGTTCACAGTCCAACTGGTGACCACTTGGCCAGCCACCAGGGCTCTGATGGAGAAGATGACACCTGTTTACTTCTGGTGCCAATTAGTGTCACCCCCAAAATGTATTTATCTCTCATCAGTGGTAGTTGGTTCGAGTAGCAACAATTGATTTTCGAAGGTGACCAGGGACACCAGCAGTCAAGAGATCAAACTGCACAAGATCTCTTTAAAGTATTGAAAAGCACAGATGTTAATTTGAGGACTCAGGTGAACCCAACCCAAGCCATGGTCTTGTCAATCACCTCCTGTGCATGTGCAAGTTGGGCATTGATAAGGAAGACTGAGACAGAATTATGGCGTTGGCAAAGAATATTGAACATTCCGTGGTCTTCCAAAAGGACAGCCACATCTTTCTTGGAAGAAGTATGGCCAGAGTGCCTCTCAGAAGCAAAGATGGAAAAAGTTTCTCTTATATATTTTGGACATGGTTTCAGGAGAGACCAGTCCCCGGAGGAGTCCCGCGCTTGGTAAAGTGGAGGGGCCGTGAAGAGGAATTCCCTAAGGGGATGAATTAACACAGTTGCTACAACAATGGACCCAAGCATGTGAGCGATTGTGAGGCTGGTGCTGGGTGGGCAGTGTTTTGTTTTGTTGCACGTCAGGTTGCTATGCATCAAACTGACCCAATGACATCCAACAACAGCAGCAGAGATGCTCATCCACAAACAGAATGCCAGAGCCCAAGCGGAACTCGCTGAATTGAGTCCATTCTGACGCATACTGACATTGTGGGACATTGTGGGACAGAGTCAACTGCCCCTATAGGTTTTTTGAGACTATAAATCTTTATGGGAGTAGAAAGCTTCATATTTCTCCAGCATATAAAGTGCCATTTATGGGCCAATTCTGTGTTAGAGACATGGGGATTCATAGGAAATGGCTACAGCTCTGAGTAGTTCACAACCTAAAGTATTAGAAAGATGTATATACTGGCAAAAGATAATATGATGTGATAAATACTATTTGGTAACAGTGATAGGAACAAAATACTAGGGGACTAGAAGGACAACTGAAACATTGCCTTTTGGGTCCAGGAATGATAATTTATTAAAATACAGTCCTTGAACATCAGTTCTTCCCAGAGAAACTGCTACACTGGGCTGATGTAGTCTGGTAGAAAGGTGCCTGCTTTGCCCCAGACTGAACTGAACCCCCATACACCCCAGGTAAGGCTGCTTTCCAGACATGTGACATGTGCAAACACAAGGCCCTATACTCAGAACTCCCCCGCCAAACAAACAAGAAACCTCACTGCCATTGAATCAATGTTGATGCATAGCAACCCTACAGGGCAAGGTAGAACTACCTCTGTGGGTTTCTGAGATTGCAGCTCTTTATGGGAGTAGAAAGCACTGTCTTTCTCCCATGGAGCAGCTGGTGGCTTCTAACTGCTGATCTTGCAGTTAGCAGCCCAATCCTTATCCACTGCACCACCAGGGCTCCTTCCTTTTGCACTGGGCTCCATAAATTATGTAGCTCCCACTGGTTCCAGATCCCTCAGGTCTCTTAAGGCCTTTGGAAGTCAAGTCCAGCTCCCAATGGCCACTCTCTTGCTTTACATTTACATAGCCAAAAGTCCAGAAATGAGTGCTACATGCTATCTAGAGAAGTTTGAAGAGACAGACAGGACATGCCTCCATGAATTTGCAATTCTGGTGAGGTTTCTCACCAGCCCAAAGGAAGTGTTGGGCAACTTGTTGAAGATAAACATTTCTTAGTAATTAGTGCAGCTATGTAGCCCCAATGGTAGGTTTGGTAGATGTGCTGTGTAAGTTTTCGGTTGAAATAATAAGATAAGACAAGTTTTCCCTATGCACTTGTAGCCACATTGACAGTTAATTACACAGATGGTCTCTTCTTAAATGCATCATGAAAGGGATTTCAATAGATTAAAACAATTCTGAAACCAAGAACAAGGTATTAAAAAGTGCCACACGACTTTATTAAACTGGGTTGCTACTGTCTTACTGTTCAAATTCAAAGCGGAAAGGATGCCTTAGCAGTGAGTGGTTTCCTATTATAAAAAGGCAAAAAAGGCTTCACACTAAAAGAAACATACTTTGATGGTTACCAGAAGTGGGAGGGGAAGGAAGGGAGAGAGAGTGATAGGGTAGCAGGTAGACAGGTGTTAACATGGGTGAAGAGGAAGGTAAAATACATTAAGAGGCAGGTTGGTAAACTGGTGGGTGCAGGGATGTTTGTCAGAATTAAAGGCAACAGAGACAAATGCTGTTATATGCACAGTTCTTGCAATTGTGGTGATCTATGAGTAGACACTAAGAAAGGCATGCAAGCTGAACAGGTGTGGAAGGTAGAGTGGGAGTATATTCATGATATATATATATAGATTGGGCAGAGGAATGTTTGTATATGTGTGTTTATCTTTGCTACAAATATATCCATGAATGTGGTGGAGTATACAGGAGGCAAAGTTATCCATACTTTTTAGACAGAACCAAACTCTTTGAGGAAAGGAGTTGATGGACCTGCAGAATTAGGACCATAGTCTCAGAGGATACCAGGTTCTATTGGTAGACCATAGTTCACAAAGACAATGGTCTACATTCTTGTTAGGGTGTAAAAAACGTGTGACTAGCCATCGAAGACATCAACATTACTCTCTTTCTCTGTGTGTCTAGAGAAGAGAACAGTGATGAAAATGGAAAGACATATGGCAGCAATCAGTCTGATGGCTCAATGGACCACACCAACATCAGCCTCCGTAACCCTGAGACCAGAACTAGATGGGATCTGGCTCCCACTCCCAACTGCTCTGCAAAGGGCCACCTTAGAAGCTCCTGCTGAGAGTGGGAGAAATATGTGGAACAAGATTGAAAATAATAAGTAATATCAGGTTTACTGGTCAGACAGAGACTGGTCCCATCCTTGAGACTATGCCCCTTAGTGACACTGCAGGTCTGGACGTGAACTCAAAAGGATGGCATTTCCCAAGGACAACGTTCAGGGCATTAGGAAAGGAGGAGATCGGGGAGCACAGGGAGGAAGGTGGTACATTGAGGGGTTTGAATGGGTGAACTGAAACAAAGTCTGTCTGAATTGTTGAATCTAAAATTGATGATATGCTCTGTAGACCTTCACCTAATTCATAATAAATTATTCTTAAAAAGTAGAAAGTGGTTTTGTGGTCCATAAAAAATGATCAGTTGTACTTGATGTGAACATGACCACATTCCACATAGTCTATGTGATATTAAGAACCAGAGTTGAACAGGAAAGAATACAGAAAACTTGTCACTGAATAGAATCCATAGGAGGCTCATCAGACTAGGCACAGGAATGGGAAACTGTACACTTTCAAAAAGAGCTCAGCAGAAACTGATTCCTTTATAATAGACAAACCAGGAATAAAGTATGAATATTAAATTTCCACACAGAGAGCAAGAACAAGAGGGAAGATAATCAAATAGAAGTTCATCTTGTTTCACTTACGTTGCTGGACAGCTAGTCCTCAGAACTAATTAGTCAGGGGATAGAGCACACAAATTAAAATAGATGCATTCCGCCAACCCTGGCTTTTGGCCCAAACGTGCCCAGATCAAAGAAATAAATCGAAGTCGTAGTCCTCCTAGCTCCCCAAAAGCATCCGCTATGGCAGGTCTCAGACTAAGAACACCACACCAGGACTTTCTGCAGTGTGGTTTTGAAGTGTGCTTCACTTTCCATCACAAGGCATTCAGGAAGTGATGCAGGGGTGTCAAGGGGCTGCGAAGCCGCAGAGGTGGAGAGTAAGCGAAGGAGGAGGAAATCGTGCCATGGGTGGTGTTGGTAGGATGCTGCGCTTTCTGAGAGGAAGCCTGCAAAGGCACGAGGTGAGGATTCTGCCAAATTGAAACACTGCACCGGGGGTCGCACAGTTATTGCATGCACGGCTAGCGAGGCAGAAGTGTAGGCGTACGCACGTCTGATTACAAGCTGAGCAAGCTTAAGCAAGTTGCAAAATCTTACTGGGCCTCAGGTTTTTTTATCCATAAAAAAAAATAATAGCTGTAATATTTGCCCCATCTATTTTGTAAGGGCAACCCTGGTGGTGCAGTGGTTCCGTGTTGGGCTGCTCACTGCATGGTTGGCAGTTTGAAATCACCAGTGGGTCTGCTGGAGAAAGACAGGGCTTTCTACTAATCTAGGAAAGTCATAGGGGAGTTCTACCCTGTCCTATAGGATGGTTAGGTGTCTTGACTTGATGGCAGTGAGTTTTTGTTTTTATTTTGTATCCAAGGATATAAACCATCAAGACAAAGCAAATATTGTTAACCATCATGACAAAGTCAATCTTAGTTCTTTTTGAGCAGTGACTAGCGGAGACAGCAACTACAGTAATAACTTAAAGAAGAGAGAGACCACTTTGAACTGAGATGGTTAGCGAATACTTCTTGGAGAAAGCAGGTTTTGAGAAGGACCTTGAAGAAGGAATAGCAATTTACTGGATAAAAAGGAAAAACTGGCGCAAGAAGCCCCCTGAATGAAAGCGGAGAGCCAGGAAATCTTGTGAGGCGATGGTGGATGGGTATAGATTTACTTAATGCAGTAAAGAGAGATAAGGCTAGAGACCAAAATTGGGTTTAGATTTAGGACAGTCTTGAGTGTGCAGTTTATAGCATGGGTAGAGGGGGAGCTCGGACAGCTCTTGAGGATAAAGTCAAACGATGTTTTAGAATCATAGTACTATGATGAGGATGTGTAGAAAGAGTAAGAGAGAAGAGGGTTTGGGGGTACAGAGACTTTCGGCAGGCTATTGACGTAGTCCAGGTATGACCAGGGGATGACAGCGGGGATGGAAAGGTGCTGTCGAGTCGGTTCTGATTCATAGAGGCCCCGTGCACAACAGAAGCAAACACTGCCTGGTCCTGTGCCAGCCTCACAATTGTTCTTATGTTTGAGCCCATCGATGCAGCCATGGTGTCAAGCCATCTTGTCCAGGGTCTTCCTCTTCACGACCTGGCTACTTTACCAAGCATGACAGCATGACATACTTTACCCAACATGACAACATGTCCAATTTGAGAGGTGCTGGATTAGGACGCATCTAATAGAAGTCAATTGTCCAACCCCCAATTTTTTGAGGGTCTACTTTGTATCGGAAAAAGGATATAATGAAAATAGGTAAAAAGGAGAGGCAAATTTAGTGTGAGGCATGTTGAGTTTGATATGCCTGTGGGCCATCTGAGAAGTTGGAAGGATAGAAGACAGGGACACAAAGCTTGAATGGGGGTGGCGGCAAAATGTGCTAGTTGCTTTCCCACGTGTGTTCTGTTATTCCCTCAGTATTGGAATGCTTCCTTTGCAGTGGTGCCCATAGCCACCCAGAAGAAAGACTTCATCGCCGCGTTTTCTGCCAGTTAAAACTTGATCGTGAGAATAAGTTCAGGCTAAGGGGACGCAAATGGAAGTGTTGCATACGACTTCTGTGTCTTTACAAAGAGGGCTTGTCCACCCTCACGGCCCCATCCCTTCAGTGCATTTTGCAGACTAGAATGCCACGAGGTTGGATCTTAGACATCTGGATTTTGCACTGAGGAGAGAGACACGTATTGAAGATGGTGGAGTCGGAGCGCAAAGACAGCTGGGTCTCTGATGACATCGTCAAGAACGATTCTACCAGCTGTGAACGGCCCAAGCCAGGCTTCTTTACCCGAGCAAGAAAAGAAGTCCTGTCTTATTTAAGCCATTCAGACTTTGAATCTCTGTTGCTTGCCATCAAAATGAAACCCAAGTGATT